TGAGCAAATCGATGAACAGCAGGACGACTATGCTACAGTGCTATTTGTGTATATATATATATGTGCATATTTATAAATATGCATGCATGTATATTTGTATATAATAAAGAATGGCATTTGAAAGTGAGAGGAGGAAGAAAGGGCAGTGAATTAAGAAAAGAAGCAGTCTAAGATTGCTGCCAGGATTCTGATTAGCTATCAGCTAGATGCTGCATTATCTAGCTGTGCATCTAGCAAATGAATGAAGAAAGGTTTAGGACATATGAAACTTTCAGATTTTAGTTTTCTTTTCTTCTCTATTTTGTGAGTGTTTGTTTCCTTTAAGTGCTGTTGTTGGTCCTCCTAAGAGGCTGGCAGCGTTATAATTCTTGTCTGATTATCTTGATTATATGAGTCCAATTAGAGATGGCAAAACATGTACAGAAGAGTTTTCTGCCACTCTAACAGTCCTTAACCATCCCTGAGGATCTTTCCCCTATTACAGTCATCATATTTTAATTATTTTGTCTTTTTGATACAATTATGAGTTCATGTTGGTCCTTGTCTATGTCCCTGAAGTGTCCACCTTTCTTTCAAATTACTTTTTTATAAAAGGAAACATGAAATCACAGAGTAATTTAGTAGAATGCAAGAGTAGATGGAAAGCTAATAAATGCTGTCATTAGAACCTATTGAGAAAATTTTAAAAAACCATGATTCATCTTTAATTTCAAAACCTGGAGAAAAATAAAAAGAACATGGGCAAATTAAATGGAGTTTTATCACTGAATAAAGTCAAACTTCAGAGAGCTATCTGTCTTTCTAAATGCTGCAAATGTCCTTTTATAATCCAACTTTACTCAGAGGGTTTCCAAAACATCTGTCTAACTTATTCAACTAATCTTACCTTTAATTCTACTTCCCTTGTAATTCTAGAGCGCCCCAAGGGTTTAAATGAGTTTTCTTCTGTAGACCTTATTTTAAGAAGCACAATTAAATGCATGCTGGAAGAAATTTTATTTTAATGTTATCTTTTCTTCCATGGTATAAATTCTACATCACTGATAACATAGTTATAGGATGCAGAGTTCCCTGCTTTCTCATCTCAGATCTGGTTCTTGACATCTTCCTTTGTCCTTGAGCCTGTTCTCCTGCCCTTGAGCCTAGCCCCCTTGGCTTCAGGCAGGCTTCGGATGAGAGCCAAACTGAGCTCTACAAAGGAAGCTCAGGAAGCAGATTGACATAGGCTCAATAATTAGCACAATGCTGGACACTACTCAATAAGGATCTGCTGAATTAATGGATGTATGACTGCCTAACAGTTGCAGAGACTTCAAGTTGATATCATGGGGCTAACTGGCTGAGCATTTATCAATGATAATGGAGGACAGACCAGCTCTTTCATCCCCCAAAGTCAATACAAGTTATTTGAAATATTCTTTTACAAAAGTTTTGTTCAGTTCTAATATCCATGTCAGTAATTTTAACAGTGTGAAAAAGCAAACATTCTTGAGCCTTTTAAGTGCTGTTTTGAATAATAAAACCTTTTTTGACAGTAGATTGCAAATTTTATTGTGAAAAGTTAGGATGACACATGACTGTATTATATAAAGTGTCTCCTTAGCAAAATCTTAGCTACTTACAAAATAATGGATATTAATGTGGAGTTGGTCTCAACTCAGCAAATTATAAGATAAATAATTTGAGGTGTTTACAATATTTTAAAATTTCCCAATTTGGTATTTTTCAAAATTGATTCCTTCACTCTTGTCATATTCAGTCACATAATGAATATAACATTCATCCCAATTAACATATTTTATAATTTGTCTTATAAGATTCATTTTTTTACTTTTATTTCACAAAGCTAAGGGAATAAAAGGAGGGGCTAACGAGATACTACAGTTAATAAGACTCTTGCCCTGATCTCTGGCACACCAAATCATTCTGAGCTTGGCCAAAAGAAATTTCTGAGCACTACCTGTTGTGGTCCCAAAACAACAGCAACAAGAAAAATAAAAAATGGAAAGAAAGAAAGAAAAAGAAATTTTGTACAGCCACTTTCAGTATATCTATATATGCCTGAATCTAATCACTCCCATTAGTATGTACATAAACTCCACATATCTAGATGAATGGTAGCTTTGTAAGTTCCATACTTATGTTCCATACTTATACTTAAGTTCCATATGTATATGTCCATTTCATCTTGAAACTATCTTCATCTACCATCTCATCTTTCCATATGGGAGTTGGACCTTCACAGAATTCTTGTTCTGGGAGACTGTTGTTTTTTTTTTGGTTACCATAAAAATCTTCATGCGTGTGGAGAGTGGTCTCAGCATGGTGGTGGCTGGTTCTGGAGGTCTTCAGATGCCGGAGCCCTGGTCGGGGTGGGGGAGGGAAACTCAACCCGCTCCCCTTCTCTCCACACACATGAAGGTACTGGCAGAAGGACAAAGGCATGCGGGTCCCGGGACTGAGATCTCCAAGCCTGCTCAGATCGGGGCTGAATTCCTCTACCCAGATCCTCCAAATTTCAGTAGGCAGGGGTCACACCCACCAACTGGCCCCCTGGCGCCATGTAATCCCATCAACAGCCAAGACTCAGAGACTATAAACCCAGCTCCCGACATCTTATTATCTCATTCCTACTTTGGACAAACTGGCAGGCTGCCAAATGTAACCTGCACACACGGCAAAGTCTGGCAAACTCCCCGTGGCATACCCAATATGCCAAACACCAGTAACAATGATGGGTCTCATTCTCCTAACCCTGAAAGAGCCTTGAATGTGGCACTTTTTAAAAAAATCTCAGGGCTAGGATGAAGGAGACGTTACTGGGGCCTGCTCGAGGCAATTGACGAACAACAGGATGGTCGTGATCGTGATCGTAATCAAAATCTTAGTAGAATATATGTTTAATGACTGTGATGATATCCAATATCTTGATTAGGACCAAAGTTTTATTTGTTCCCAAACATGAAGTGTCAAAAACTAACTTAATAGCAAAAACATTCTTACTGGCATTTGTACTTGCTACTCCCCTCCATACCCTTGGTAATTGCTGTGTGAAAAGTAAAGATTGTCTCTAATTTATAAAATGTAAAGCAAGTCAAAGAAAAATAAAAGAAAGTTTGATGTTATTGCTCAAGAGACTTTGTTTGGTAAAATACAAGAAAGCAGAATAAACTACATATAGCCCTCTCCGGATGAAACAATGTATTTCAAAAGTCAGTCCTGGTTCAAATACAAATAACACTGAAGTGAATGTTATTAATAATTCATAGAGGGTAGACATTTACAAACTTTGAAACCATTTTTTTGTGTGCCCAGATTGTTCTAACACACCATATCAGAACAGATCGCACAGACAATGAGACATTTATTTTCCAACTCACACATTATTTCCTAAGTCAATTTTATATATTTGGAGCTTTTTTTATTTGCTTAGGTTTGTCTTTCTTTTTTACTATTTTGATAAAATTTTATTATGACTTAGGTAACATGTCTACAATACTGCTAATGTTTATGGTCTTGATATACAAAGTTATAGCTCTGATCACTTCCAAAGTGCCCAAGACACTTCACTACTCTCCATAGGTGACCTCTGGTCCAAATAAGCTCCCCCCAACTTCTAAACTCCCCCATGTATATGTCAATAAAATTTATTCTAATTATCATGTTTAGAATTATGTTTAGATTATTATGTTTAGAATAAACTTTCTTGGGATATTTTGATGCCATATGTTTAGTCTGATAAAAATTATTTGAAGACTTCCAGTCATTCAAAACACTCTGAAAACCCATTGCAAGTTTGAGACATTCAATAGCAAGTTCGCTAAATCAGATTTTTGTGTGTGTCCAAACATTGATTATAGGCTAAATTGATCTAGTAAAGGATGAATGGTCACAGTAAAAGTTCTCTGCACCTTGTGTTGAATGTATTTATCTCTGAGTTACTTGGAAATTTTGGAGTCATGGAGGAACTCCCTTGTATTGGCTATGCCTAAGGAATGTGATTGCCCCTAGAATGTTTCATTTATTGTGTTACTATTTCATTGATAGGAGATCCTTCATCAAATACATTAAAAAACTGAAGGGCTATCTAATAGAGAGCATGTGTCTTAATATTTTGTAAACTCTGTCTTTCCATTATATTACCCAAACCTTGGAATTACTTGTTCACCAGTACCTATTGTTTTTCTATATACATAACCATATAACCAGATATGTCCCATTTGCAGCATACTTCCTTCTGCATATATTCTCTATTACAGGATTTTATATGCATGAGGCTAAATAGAGATTGGTAGCAAAGGAAAAATGGTAAAATTATGCTAATCTTAACCTTCTAAAATTACCAATGGCTTTATATAAAAGTCCTTTGCTTTCTTCCTTAATCTCTCACCATCACCCTCTATATATGGAAAAGTGATAAGATTTGGAGTTCAAGAGAAACACTAGGTTGGGTCTGATTGAACTAAATTATTTTTGTTTCTTTCTTTCAGTTGTCTTTTTACTGTATATTCTGCTTTTGTATATAAGACCATCATAATCATTAAGAAATAAGTTTTTTCCAGAGTCACATTTGAACCAGAATGATAGGCATCTGTCATGCATTGTGGGTATTTTGGGGACAGCTCACCTTGATGAATCATTTCTGCCCTTTTGCCTGCCCTCTTTTAATTAACATTTGGAAAAGAATAGCAATGCCACTAGATAACCCATCTGGGAAGAGAGACCCAGAAATTGTTGTGAGCTCTGTCAATCTTTAACCTTGCCAAAGAAGATACATTCAAATGTATTCTCATGAAAATCAACCATAGTCAACACATATTTAAAGCAAAGAGATCTTCAGAAGAAATATGTCCGTATACTTGTAAATCAGAATAACATAGATAAGCATATCTGGAAAGAATATAAGAAAACCCCCAACCCCCCAAACAAGATAAGAAAATGTCCAAAAGAAGAAAATAAATGCAGAACTAGTTTTAGCTACAAGATTTCTTGTCACTTACCTTTTCTGCAGACTGGGCTGTACCAAAAAAGATGGGAATGAAAGCTAACCAAATGATGCAGGTGGTGTACATGGTAAATCCAATAGGCTTGGCTTCATTGAAAGTCTCTGGGACACCTCTTGTTTTAATGGCATAAACAGTACAAGTGACCATCAAGAGAATACTGTACCCCAGTGAACAGATGAGGGAGAGATCAGAAATGTCACACTTGAGCACCCCCCTGGCTTTCTCTGGGTCTAGGGTACGCTGCTCTCCATAGTCAATGATGATGTGGGGAGGATCCACCACAAACCAGACACACACACCCAGGAGCTGGACGGAAATGAGGCTGAAGGTTATCACCAGCTGGGATGCCGGGCTAATAAACTTGGGGGCTGTGACCGATTTCTTTCCCTGCTCAAATATTCGGTGGATTCGGTTTGTTTTGGTGAGAAGGGCTGCGTAGCTGAAACACATGCCAAGTCCCAGGAAGATTCGTCGGAAGGAGCATATGATGGTATCCGGTGCTGCGATCATTAAAAAGGTGATTGAGTAACAGAGAAAGATCCCCGTGAGGAGCACGTAACTAAGTTCACGTCCGGATGCCCTCACGATGGGGGTGTCATTGTAGCGGACAAAGGTCATGATCACAAACGTGGTGGCTATGATTCCCAATATTGCAATGAACACAGGCACCACAGCCCAGGGCGAGTGCCACTCCAGTTTGATGATGGGGATAAGTTGGCAGCCGGTGCGGTTGATGTTTGGCCTCTGATCCAAAGGGCAGAGCTCACAGGAAAGCTCGTCCACCTGGTAGTTGTAACCTTCACAGCGCTCACAGTGCCAGCAGCAAGGGACTCCCTTCACCGTTTTCTTCCTCTCCCCAGGTTTACAAGGCAGGCTGCAGACAGATGCCGGGTGTGTGTGTTCTCTATTAGCCCACTGCATGTCTTCCACCTGTGGGTATAAAAAATTAATGAGCCTTCCATTTTTGCCCCATTTATAACATCCTAATCCTAGCCACAGGTTCATCATAAATCACCATATGCTGACAGTACAAATACAGTTTACCATAATAAAAGCCCAGTTTCTTTCCCTGGTATCGACTTTATGAAAATGCTAAACGATTGGGTTCAATAAATCATTCACATCGTCAACTTGATGAGTGTCATTAGTTTCCATTTACCATCTCAGCGTTGACCAATTTGACATTTGAAAAAAGATTTATTGGCCCAAACAGATTTAAAACTAAAAAAGAAAAAGTCACGAAGCTAAGTATTTTTTTTCCTTCTAGCTCACCTTAGGTTAAAAAAAAACAAAAAACAAAACAACAACAACAACAACAACAAAAAACCAGCATCTGCAACACACTAACTTTATTCAAGTCTTTCTATCATATTTGTAGAATTTCAAATAGCACTTTGTGAATTTTGAAAATAAATAGCAAATGAGGTATTTAATATGATGAAATTCTCCTTTGCTCATGTTGATGACATTACTATTTTGACTTACACTTAAAATATAAAATATCCATTTTCTCCCATCATGTATTTCCACAATGTATAAAAGGATCATATAGAATGAAATAGGGGAACAGCAATATTTTTCAATAAATAGAACTAGTTTTATAAATGGCCTGAATTAGTAGAATTGGTATATATGAGGGAATGTTTCAGAGTCTTAAAATCTTTTTACTGTTTAGGGTGAATTCACAAGATACTGTTATTAATTTTAAAATATTATTTAATAGAAACACTGTCACTGAGTCCCACCAGGAGTGATCCCTTGGCATAGAGCCAGAAATGCACCCTGAGCACTGCCTAATGTGGCCTCCAAACAAAATAAAACTTTACTTCCCCCAAAACCCCAATATATATTTTATTATAAATAATAATATTAGTTTCATCTTATTGCATATACATTATTAGAACACTAGTAGGACAAAACTGCAAACTATGCATCACAGGAAACCAAGAGTAAAAACTACTTTCTCTTATGAAAAGTAGATACTACAAAGTAAATTGTATGCAGAATTGATTATATTTAGAGATGTGAACAAGCCATGATCAATACTCTTTCCTCAAGTGTTTGTCAAATTCATGAGAAATAAAAGAAGGAATGTTGCCATGATTGATAGTGAATTAAAGCAATGGAAAAATTACCAAATGTCAGTCTGTGACTTCTAAACTGATACAACTGCTGCAACACACACTATATATGTAGTCAATGACCAGACATAGAGAAACTGAAACTGCCAATAGTCCCTAGGAGTTCCTTAGAACAACCTGTGTATGCCAATTAAGACTTTCTAAGAATCCCTGGTCACACAGCATACCACCCTTACACTACCATCCAAGACATAAAAAAGGCCCTCAAATTAGAACTGTGGACTTTAAGACACTGCTCAGCTGTTCTGCTTTACAGATTGTAATGCCACTCTCTAAAAATCCTTTGTTTGTCTGCTGTTTCGTGTGTCTCACTCTTTCTTCAAGGTATCAATAATCCTGAATAAAGTCCCCACTCTCTCCCACCATCGGTGACAGAAAGACACCAAAGCTGACGAACAGAGGCCAAACAGAACGCACTGGGATATAGATATAAAGGATTGTTCAGAGAGGCACAGAAAAAGGAGTTGAAAGAACGTTTAAATTATATATCAAGTGATTTTTCTCCAACACCTGTTCTATTAGCAACAAAAAAAGAATTATCAGAGTCTGTGGCAGGGACTCCAAGATGGCTCCGAGGGCCTTACCTCCTGGAATTCATTTATTCACATAGTTATCTTCCATTTGGAATAGGGGATATATCTGTAAATAATAATATATTGCAGGGGCAGGAGTGACAGTGTAGCACATAGCTTTTTTTTTTTTGCCTTGTTCACAGTCATCCCAGATTCAATTCTTGTCACCCCATTAGCTCCTCTGAGACCCTCAGGAATGATCCATGAGCATAGAGGTGGGAGGAAGTCCTGAGCATAGCCATATGTGGTCTGAAACAATTGTCTCTATATATGTATATTTAAATAGCAATTTATTAATATCAATATTTTGAGAACTTTCAGTGTGGTGGAAACAAACTGGACTTCTTGTCAACAATTCAGCAACCAAAAATGAGAGCTTTACCAAGAAAGAGTATTGTCTCGCTCTAGTGAAGCTTTCAGCGACTATAGCCCCAGCGGACAAATTGAAACCTCTTGGACATCCCTGAGCCTTAATGACCAGTGATGCTGTTTCTGAATTTCTTATGCATGTATGGAAACAGTGAGATAATAGATATTTATTGTCTGAAACTGCTACATTGTGTATTTAGTTATTAGGTAGTAATAGAAAAGCTAAACAACTCAAATTGAGCTTAATTCCTCCAGTGGCTACTACCTGAAGCAGCTATTGGAAAGTGACAGCAATAATCTGCCAATAAATTAATAAAAAATCAAATAAATACTCTAGGCACATAGTAGCAGCAGTATATTTTCATCTCTTAAATTCATTCTGTTGGGGGGGGGGGTCATACATAAAAGTGCTCAGAGCTTACTCTAGACTCTGCATTCAAGGAGTCCCAGCAGTACTCTAGAAGCATCATGTGATGCTGGGAATCAAGCAGGGGATTAAGCTGGGGTCATTTGCATTGCCAGACAAACATCTAACCACTATATTCGCTCTCCATCCCCCTCCCCATCAATTTTAAGATTGTCTTCCTTTGGGAACCAGATTACCAAGACTATTCTCATGAATAGACATGTTACTTAAGGATTTTTTTTGTTGTTGTTGAATATCAGGTGAATTGTTGAGGACTGAAACTATAGACCACAGTTCGATAACTGCAGAGGACTGACAAATATTCCCTGGTGTAGCAGAGAATTCATGCACGTTTAATTGTAGACATCCATCCCTGGAGCGATAGCACAGCGGGTAGGGCGTTCGCCTTACAAGCGGCCAACATGGCCGACTCGAGTTCGATTCCTCCGCCCCTCTCGGAGAGCCCAGCAAGCTACCGAGAGTATTCGATATGCCAGACACAGTAACAACAAAGTCTCCAATGGAGACGTTACTGGGCCCGCTTGAGCAAATCGACGATCAACGGGAGGGCCTTTACCTTTACCTTTACCTTATCCTTCCCTGGGAAAACAAATGCTATTAATTGAGTCATAAGGGCACCCACTACTAATAGACCTACTGGTCTGCTCAACATAAAGGAAATGCAATATATCGCCATCCTGCTAATTTTCTATCAGGGTTTAGTGCTTTACAAAAGGTATTTCATTTACTAGTGGGATTCTTTTATGAAAGACAGCAAAAGTTAAATTGGAAGCATGTAGAGGTTTTTCTCAAAAATATTGAGAAAAATGAAATGCCCTACTGAGTGGCTAGAGTATTGATTTTATACTCTAATGTACTCTTATAAGATAATAAAATACTTTTTGTGAAAGTTATATTTCAAAACTGATTATTGTAAAACCAAAATTGCATTTTATTTGGGATGTCTATAAATTTACAAGGTAACTGCAAAAGACTTTTTTTCCTTTCGGGTCACACTCGGCAATACACAGGTGTTACTCCTGGTTCTGCACTCAGGAATTACTCCTGGCAGTGCTCAGGGGACCATATGGGATGCTGGGAATTGAACCCGGGTCAACCACATGCAAGGCAAACGCCCTACCCGCTGTACTATCGCACCAGCCCCAAGGCAAAAGAAAAAATTCCCAAACCGTTAAACATTGCAACTAATAGGAAACTTAAAGTCCACCTTGATGACCATCCACATGTCTAATTCTTTCATTCTCAATTAAGTCATTCTGCAAGAGGCCATAAAATTTGTTAATGAATAAAAATATCTATACCAGATATGCCTTATTATCTAACATATTTAATTTGTAATATAAACATTACTTTTTATCTGATCATTTTTCAGAGAACTAATAGAAAAATATTTCTTGCAAATAAATTTTATACAATAAAAAAATAGGATTTTTTAGATTTGTGAAATTCTCTGAAGGATAAAATTATATGTCTATGCAGTTATGTGATTTGTTTCATATATGTATATGTGATTTATTTCATAATTTATATATAACAAAGTATATAAGACAAATTACAAAGTATATGTGAAGTAAATTATGAAACAAATTCTAGTTTATTTATATATGTTATAGAAGTAGAAATTAAAACCAAAACTACTTGAGAGTAAATAATTAAGTTTCCCAATGGTTAAAGCATAAATAATAACCGCACAACCCTTTTGCATTGTGATATTAACAATGAGTTTGAAGGGAATCTTCATATAAGTTGTCTTCTCTGTCTATAATACTGCTTTAAGGCTGTTTTATGTCTACCCTACATGGAGTTAACAAACATTTAATTATTTTATAGATAGATTTCCCACGAATTAAAAACTCGATTCATATGATCACAGTGTTTACCAAATGACTCACTCAGTGGCCTTCAATCCAGTGTATTTCATAAGTGGCAAATTATCAACTAATTTATTTTGTCATTTATTATTTATGGTTACTAATACATAAAAATGTACTAACAAACACAAAACAAACTTTCTAAATGAATAGGCATATATTTTTTTCTAATTTCTTTTTTAAAAATCATTTTTAATCAGTAACAGTGAGATACACAGCTACAAAGTTGGTCATGATTGGGTTTCAGTCGTATGATGCTCCAAAACCTATCCCTTCACCAGTGTACATTTCCCACCACTAATGTCCCCAGTTTCCCTTCTGACCCCAACCTACGTCTATGAATATACCTACATTAAAAATAAGTAATATTTATGGACCAATTCACGGAGGGTAATTTTTGTAAGTACTTTATAAAGAGCATTATTGGGGCCAAAGAGATAGTATAGGGGTAAGGTACTTGCCTTGCCACTTTTTTTTTGCTTTTTGGGTCACACCTGGCAATGCACAGGGGTTAATCCTGGCTCTGCACTCAGGAGTTACTCCTGGCGGT